CCTCAGCTACCTCCCTTGTCATGATGCTAAATCCTACATTCAGAATTACAGAGGAAATAAAATGTCCATGCTTACTACTTTGCATTGGCTTATGGAAACATTTTGTTGTTTGATACATATGTGTGTACACACGCACACACACCTTAAACAATACAAGACCTCACCTTGTGGTCACCCCCACCCACCCTGCACGGACCCTTATGGTGCACTTTCCTGCTCCGCTTTCAAAGTATTGTTTTCATACTTCTCTTGGCTCACATTCCGCTTTCCAGTTTGCCTGCTGCACTTTTCTTTCTTCTAGGCTAGATCCTGCCCTTCAATGGGCTATTCCATAGAGGCCACTACACCACATTTTTCTGTTTTTCCTGAAAAACACATGATACAGATTCTATTATAGCAGATCCCTATGTATCTGTATTTGCACCTATATTTACCCCATAATTAATTAATTATAATTGTAAAAATAATTACGGGTATGAGTCTATGGAATTTAAAAAGGGAATTTCTGATTAAGCACGAATAGGATAGTACTAAAAGTAACCTTGCCTCAACAAGGAGTGATATGATTCTTTCATCCAGAATAGATAAATATCATGTTCAAAATTTGAATCTTTATGGCCAGTTTTTATTGCTGAATATTCCTGAGAAAAGATAGCTGCTCTGAACATGACATTTATTGTACTCTTCCCCAAGGTAGCCTGATTTTGGTTTCTTGCAGCACTATTTTTAAATGTGTAACAGAAGCTCTTTAAAAGGAGAAGTAAACTCATATGATTCTTGAATGGTGTAATTTCCATCTTTCTCAATCCTTTATCTAGTTTTCATGGCTATGCTCTTTCATGTTTTTCAGAGGTTTAAACAGGAGTGAAGTGGGTTGGATGAAAACGTTTCTTTATCAATTCAGTTTCTAGACTGAAAAGCATTATTCTTTAATTATTATATTTTTCCTGCCATGTCCTCCCTATAATTTCCAAAGTTCATTTCTAGTTTTACCTGTTCTTTTTATCCAGAGGTTCAGACATGTAGCAAAAATGCATATTTTTTAGCATTCAGTTTCTGAATAAAAAGCTCCACTCATTCACACGCCGACGTATACCTTCCCAACTCAAAGTCTAGCTAGCCAGCTTAGGTCTGAGTTCAAAAAAAATAAAGGCAGGATGCCAACATGGAATACTTGTTGTATGTGGTGCTCCCAAGGTCTGAGATACTGATATTTGTTTATACTTTCCAGCAATGCTTGACTAGTCCATCAAAGTTTGGCCCATGCAACCTTAACACTTTTCTCACATTTCCTGGATTTTTTCCACCACAGTGCCATTGCCTTATCCAGTTCACATGGGAACTATCTGTTGTTTTGGAAACCATCTTTTGTTGTGTCTTATTTAAACTCTTCATTCTGGTACTTTCCCACATACTGTGTAATCAGAAGTCTTCCTGAGCAAACCTTTTTGCCTTTTTGTACTGCTCTGAATGTAATCTTTTTGTACTCATAAGCTCCTTCTTTGATATATGTCCACTCACATAACACATGGCATAAAACTACACACTAACATGGTACTATGGCAGTATATAATTTGGTATTATATGCTAGTGCAATATACTGGTATTAATATACTGATATATGGTTCACAAATTAATGATTAATAATATATGAATAACATATTCTGATATTAAGGTAGCCTAAACTGGTTTCATCCTTTGGTATCCCAGTAAAATATAGTTCATTCTTGAACAATTTCTTATACAGAAAACCAGAAATCAAAATATGTCCTGCATTTGCAGATAATGTTAGAGAACATTACTTGCTAGTTTCACTACAGCATCTCATTGGTGAGTTTTAAAAAAAGTATAGGGGTTAGTTTCTTGAATAATAGAAATCAGTTGAGCAAATTGTTAAAAACCAATCAAAACAGAAACACATACTTTTTTCTTCCCCAATACCATGTCCCTTCTTTGGGTCTGGCCTTTATTCTTCTCAGAAATGTAACTGCCTAGCCAGTTATCTCCCATTTTGTAAATTTATATTTACCCATTTTCATTTTCAGAAATATTTATATTCCCCACCCCCCATGTTATTTTTCTGCCTTCCTTTGCCTGCAGCCCAATTGGATGCATATTCAATCAAAAGTCAATTCACTATGTTTAGGGAGACTTACTTGGGATAAATCAACAGAAATATAATGTCAAGATCATGGGAAGTGATAATTCTACTCTATGCTGTATTGGTCACTCCGCACCAGGAATACTGTGTCCAGTTTTGGTTCCATAATACAAGAAAGGTATGAGGAACTGAAAAGAGTGCAGAGAACAACAAAGATGGCGAAGGGCCTGGGAGCTAAATTCTATGAAGAGTTAAAGGAACTGGTATGTTGAGCCTAAAAAAGAGAAGACTAAGGAAGACATGATAGCAGTCCTCCCATACTTGAAGTGTTGTCACAGGGAAGAGAATATGGATTTATTTTTTACAGTCCATGAGGATAGAATAGTAGCCAATGGGTGGGACTTTACTGTGAAAGATCCAAACTTGAAATAAGGAGGAATTTCATGACTGTGAGAGCTATTAAGCAGTGAAACAACTTGCCTCCAAGAGCTGTGAGTGCTCCATCACTGCAGGTTTCAAATAAAGGTTAGACATCATTTGTCTGGAGTGGTCTGAAGATTCCTGCCCTGGGCAGCGGGTTGGATTACAAGACCACGAAGGTCCCATTCAACTTTATGTTTCTGTGGTCTATGCCTAGAAGATAGAAAATGCTTCCCTTTGAGACTGTTGTTCTTATGCAAAATTTTATGAGATTCCTGCTGTCTTCCATTTGTAACACACCCTTGTTTTCCTTTCACTTCTTCATATCTTACAAAAAGAATGTTTCAAGATGGATAGCTCCTAGCATGAATAATCAAAGGACATCATGACAGCTCTTCCATTCTTTTACCTTTAACACACTTTCTCTGCAAAAAATGTAAAAGAGTTATAAATTGTGACAATAACAATTTGGGAATGAAGCACAATGATCTTCATTTAAGGAGAGATGGAGAGCTGTATAATGCCTCTAGCTGCTAATTATATGAAACCCTTATAACACCTTAATTAAGCATCACTTAATTATGACATAAGAATGGATAGGACTGCAACCTAAAAAATCCTGATTAAAATCAATCACACTATATAGGGATCTATAGCACATGGCATAATCATGTTTATTATTTATCATAACTAATTTCTTGCATACAAGCATTTCTGAAATGAAGTGACTATCAGAACTTTGGAATTATCTCCCCCTTCTGTAGAGACAGATTCTATAGCACAGAGAAGACATAGTTATGTGCACCAAAATGTGACTGGGCTTAGGGTTACCAGATGTCTGGCAAAAGGAGGATATATCTGGACAATATTTGATTTTAAGGCTATGCCTTAAATGACAAATGTCTTCCATCCAGCAGTCATAGCCTTAAAATCAAATATTGCCCAGCTTTTTGAGTATCTTGTTTTTTTTAAATGGACTGTTTTCACAACAGTAGTCATTCAAAATTTTGTATATTGTGACCTTGAAAATAGCTTTTCTTTTCCTCATCCATTGACAGACTTAACAAACTAGATTTATATTATTTAATTTTCTCCTAATTCCAGCAATTGGCTTCAATCGATCCCCTTCAAATCTATGGTCACTATAGTCAGTAGATTGCATGACTCATCCTATGTTTCTATGGTGAAATTTGAAAAGTGTGTTGTCATCAGTTCTATATTATTGCTAGCATATGTTCTCGAAAATAAAGATTTGTTGGAAAAATATTATGATTGAAAAACCAGTCTTTCTGATGCTAGAAAAAGTAGTTTCAGATACATGTAGGCCTAAGTACATTTTTTGCATTTTTTTGCTGTCACAGATGCCAAGAAAGTTAAAACAGTTTGTGTGTCCTCCTTCTCTCCCCATTTGTCCTTCTTTCCAATTGTCCGTTTTCCTTTGCCAGTTCAGATATCTGGTAACCCTAGCTGGACTTGAAATTTAAGCAGGGCTGGGTGTACTTGGTACTTGAATGGAAGAGCAGCTGGAAACACAGGGCTGTAGGATAGATTGGGAAGTTAAAGAAACATTCTGGAAGAAGGCAATGGGAAGCCACTGCCATGCTATTGCCTGAAAACTGCATGACTGTATCCCTATATCCTCAGAGTCAAGCTCAGTTGGAGGGATAATAAAGCATAATAAATGCTACAAACATAACTCTTGTAGGAAGTGAGCTGCAGCTCACTAAAGCTTATGCCTTTTAATAAAATTGGTTATTCAGAAAAGGTGCAACCAACCTAATTCCAATTCCCCTACTCTGCGGGTGAGAAGCATTTGTAAATATTTTATGTTTCTCTTCCAATGTTTATACAGCTTGCATTGCAGGCTGATGAAGGGTTGGCAGATGACAATGTCCTGCGACACTGTTGTAAAATAGTCCCATATAAAAACTGCTGGTCAGAGATGGGGCAGAAGTTGGTTTATACTTCAAGCAGTAAAAACCATAACCTGAAAATAGCAATTACAATACTTAAATAACTGAAAAAATTAAAGCCCTTGACTGGGTTCAGATTCAAAGCTATTGAATCTCTCATTACTGCATGCGGGTATGTTGCATTTGAGAATTTTCAAACATCCTGCAACCACAAATAAAGTCCATGTTGGAAAGAGCCCAATCAAAAGAGAGGCTCTTTTAAGGATATTACTTTTATTGCTCAAAATACAAACCAAACTCCATCCCATCTCTGACCGGCCGCTTCTTTACAGGACTGGTTTACGACAATGTCTTTGTTACCATTTTGTCTTTTTCAGGATACCTGTTACGCTACCCAACCACAATTCCCATAAAAGCTGCACGGCGTCGAAAACATAAAGAACTTTTTCCATCTCTATCGTGGACTCTATAATTTTCTAGTTCTATGGGTTTTACGAAAGCATATTAAGTGGATGACGTCATCTCTCGTCTTCTTAGCGCAACGTCATATCCTTGCGACTCCAGTCTCTAAGCAACGCAGAGATGCGTCTATTATGGCAGCGAGGAGGCTCTTATTCTCATTGCTGCTCTTGCTGTCGGAGTTGTGGTGGGAGTCCGAGACTGACAATGTCACTCTAAAAGCAGAAAACTTCTCCACGGAGGAAACGCCCCTCACCGGGACGCCTCCCAGCGGAACTTCCGACGTGCAAACAGAAGAGGGTCTTGGACCCCGTGTTGGTGAGCGGGGGAGAGTCTGGGCTATGACTCAGAGGCGTACACTCCTCTTCCCCTTCAAGCGAATCATCCCCTTTATCATCGACTTTTTTTGTTCTGATTTTTTTGCTTTGTTTTTAAAATCTTCGCTCATGCTGCTTCTTTCCCTCACAGATGCTTTGTCAGACTGCCCCTGTGACCTGCATCCAGGCTTCTGCGACCTCAATTGCTGCTGTGATTCACATTGTGGTTCAGAATGCAACCTGGGTGCGCCTGGGTGCCCCTTCTCTTTCTGTCTTCCAGGCAGTACCAGGTGAGATGGCAGCTTTGGAGATTTTTTTAGGTTTCTAGACATCCTACCAAGACCAGAAGCTTCAACTGGTCCAGAATGCAATGGCATGGACAGCCTTGGTATGTCTGTGTGACACATCTGCCTTGTGAGCTGCACTGGTGCTTCCAGGTGCAATTCAAGGTGCCCGCCATCACCTATAAAACTCCACATGGCATAGGGCCAGGTTGTTTGAGAGACCACATGTCTCCCATGGTTGCTGCCTGGCCAGAACCCATGCTGGGTTTCTTTGATTAAACAATGCCATCTATTGGGATCCAGGAAGTGTGCCTTCTTTGTGGTGGCACCTGCCCCCTGGAATGAGATCTCCTCTGAAATCCATGTGGCTCCCACCCTGTTGGCATTTTGTAAGATCTTAAAGACCTGGTTGTCCTTCCAGGCCTTGGGTTAATATGAATGGAGCCTCTTGTTAGATGTGTTTTTGTCTAAGTTTTTGTACAGAATGACTGGATCCCATTTTGTTCTGTATTGTTTCTATTGTATATTATATTGTGAACTGCTCAGAGTCAGGCAGCACACACATATATATATGTATGTATGTACGTACGTATGTACGTATCTAGAAAATATGTTGCCCACATATTTGTTTTTGTGATTGTTAAAAAAAAATAGCACAATTTTGGAATGGGAGCTGCAGCTCTTTATCTGCTTTTAATGTTAAGTTTTGTCGTTTACCAAAAACTAAGTAACTCTTGAATTTAGCTGTGTGTTTTGAAAGTCATTGTGTGGTATATATTATTAATTTGAGTTTGCTTGAATAATATTCTTTAAGATAGTTTTCTGTATTTGTATTTTTCCTTAGAGTTGTGAGTCGGGTATGTTTGGAAAAGTCCCTCATTTTCCGAAATAACACTCCCTTCCATACTGAAGTCCTTCCAGGTCCTGATGGATGTGTATTACTCTTCTGTGTACAGTTAAATGATTGTAAGGTTGGCTTTTTCTCTACAACAAATTATACTCTTTGATTGCAGCTGTTTTCTGAATCTAATCTTAGGAATAGATATACAAACCATAATTAATGCTTATTTTCTGAAGATAATAGGACAATATAGTGGGTTTTGTTTATGTAGTTTCATTTTCAAACCTTGTGAAATGGATGCATTTTTCATTTGTTATTATGGTATCGATTTTTCTAAACACTTTCCTTTTCTCTCTGTTTTTCTGATAGACAATATTCTAACAGTTGGACATTGTTTTACTATCTCCTCTTCCATAAAAATAAACACAGAGTATTAGAAGAATATCTTAATTTAAATGTATAAATAGTATAGTATTATAATATAAGTAGTATATAGTATAATGCACTTGCTTTTCTTAGGAATAATTTTGCTGATTCCTATTCCATTAATAACTCATCTAGGAAAATTTGTACACATAATACTATGGTTTTATAGTTAATTTTTGAAAGCCACCATAAAAAGGATCTGTTTTCTATTAGAGATAGACAACTGATACTCTGGATGTTTCCAACTATTGTACTTATTATCACAGATCATTCAGAATTCTATCTGGAGCTTAAGAGAACTATAGACAAAAAATATCTGAAAGGTGCTATCATCAGTATTTGACTGCAGAAATTCATAGCCAATTACATCCTGCTATCAAAGTGGCTTGACTCTGAACCATAGAATTATAGCCATTTTGTCTGTTACCAGATCATAATTTTGTTACTGTGTGTATTTGCCATTTTGCTAAAGTGCAGGTGATCTTTGACTTGAAAAATATAATCTGTTTATACCTTCTTCCCAAAATATCTTCCATGACTCTATTTTTGCACAGATGCACAAATGCTTCTGGCCTAAACCAGTGAGATGGACAACCAAGGAAGTTATATACAGAGAAGTTATATACAAGGCCTCTGAGAAAGAATGGGAAAGAGCTTTTAAAAAGTACCACGTCTTATAACAGGGCTTGAAAAAATACAGAGAGAGGGAATTACATTTATTGCATTTGCAATGTGGGATGTCATTTTAACACTGTGATGTTACTGTTGTGCTTCTCTCCCACATTTCTATTTTTAGCCACACTGAACTATTTACAAGTGCCACAGATGGTGACAGAAGTAAATTTTCCAGTACTTTCAGCACAATATGGAGGGTCATCATTCATCCCTCTGGAACAAGTTTGGTCTTCTCCATCTGCCTTTTATCAAGTGAGTTGGTTCTTGGCTGTTTTTTTTTTAGATATTTTTAGCGGCAAGTGCTAGCAATTCTGAAGCAGGCCAAATTTAGATTTTCCTGCTTAAATTTTAGCCTTTCTCCTTTTCCCAACAAGATGAGACTTGCCTAGTATCTTGCAATGTAAGCTTATTTAAACATCCAACCTTGTGAAATAAATGAAAAATGTTAGCTTGCTTTAAAGAGTCTATCTGATGGTTAAGTTCTTTTTCTATAAGGGCTATGCTAGGAATTAGTCTTTTGCAACTCTTCTGCTTCCATTTCAGGTGGGGGACCCAATTCAGATTTACTTTGCTGCATCATCTACACTAAGTGTGCTTAAGCAGCCTGTGGGCATGGGAGCTAGCCAGGTTTGCACTGATGAGAATCCTGCTGGTGAGCATTGAGATTTTAGCAAAATTCTAACAGTTCACAAAGTTTATCTGGGTTTGGTAGCTGATTACAGATAGTCCTCTGTTTACGACTAATTGTTCAGCGACTGTTCAAAGTCATGACGGCTTTGACCAGTCCTTTTGGCAACTGGCTCATAGTTACAATGGTTGCAGTGTTCCGCTGTCAAGTGATTGCCATTTGCGACCTTCACTGCCAGCTTCTGACAAGCAAATCATTGGGGAAGCTGGCAGGAGGTCACAAATAGTGACCATGTGATGTCACACTTAACACTTATGTGGGATTCGCTTAATGACCACAGTTGGAACTGCCGCAACTGCTGTTGTTAAGTTGGTGTGGTCATGTGACATCACACTTTACAACTGCATCGCTTAGTGACGGAGTTGCTGGTCCCAATTACCATTGTCAAGCAAGGACTGCCTGTATTGTTTCTAGAAACCACCATATTGGGCTTCTTACTTCCTGCACAATTGATAGCAAAAATAAATATATTATTTGATTCCTGGTAAATGGATGGGTGAGCAAATTTAGAAGAGAGAAGTAGTATATGGTACATAATGATCTTAATTGTGAGGCCATGGCTGGGTTCACATAACATGCTGAGCTATATGCTAGCCAACTACATATTAATCAAGTCAAGTGTGTTGTACAGGTCTAGTCCATATGCATCCCAGGACGCGAACAGCCTAACATTTTTGGAAAGAAATGCAGTCTGCTTTCCTGTATTGCCACCACTGTACTGACTGGTGGAAAACTAAATGGTAGTCAGAGCTAAACTCCTGAATCAACTTTCAAAGTCTGTAGGGCATTATTAATTGTCATTCTTGAATACTGCTGTCATTGTAGAGAAGCAGAGACAAGTAGGAACATGGTTCCTTAAACAGTAGCCCAGCATAGAAAGACATTTCTAATAATAGTAATAATAATAACAACAACAGCACAATTCCAGATGCAGTATCAGATTCTGGAAGAAAAATAGAAGCTTAGCCAGGCAAGGGCTTCTTCAAGAAGGCAAGATATGCAGACTGATATGCATATTTTAAGACTAAAAGGTTTGATGGTCTTTTTTTTTATTGTTATAATTCTCTATCAAGTGACAAGCCTCATATTGCAATGTAGGCACAGTCTCTGAAGTACAGAGCTCAGTCTGTGAAACTTATAAAAGATGTACTGTAAAGTCAGCATTGTCAAAAAATAAGATTATGGAGTTTGCCTGATTATATTGTTAAACACACACATGGCAAATGTTAACTGCATTTTTGAACTCCTAAGTTGACATTTGCTGTTTGTCTGTTTTTCTTCACCTCTTATAGTGTGTTCATTTCTTAGGTTTCCTGGAAAGTAAAACCACCAGCTGTATTAGGATCCTTACTGACCTGAGGAGCAGTTGTACCTCTGACCCTGCATTGGATGCAACTTCATATTATCATAACTTCAGTGTATTGCAGGTGTGAAATCTGACCTACCAATAGGCCTATTATTTTGCTATTGAGGTGTAATCTTATTTATTATTCTTATTTTATTTGTTTATTTTAATGTATTGGCCAGCCAACTCCAGTGGATTCTTATGTATATTTATTAGTAAAAGCAAGCCTCTACTTTTTAAGCATCTGAGGAGGAGGAGGAGGAAGATTTGGTGATTACTTTCTTCTGCAGAAACTCAGAAATTTTGGGGAAAATACTAATATTATCTATTGGCCTGCTACTGGCAGCAATTCAAGTCCTGTAAAAATGTCAGGGGATTATTGTAAAATATAATTATATCAACTAATATTAAATGTTAGTATTCTAGGAAAAGAGGTGCTAATACAATTAGCTGCAACAAATGTTTGTATTATCAACAGAACCTGTGAAGTTCTGTGATAACTAACAGCTAAGGGTAGAGTCCTAACTTAGACATGGGGCTTTTCTAAAGATAAGTAGGGTGTTTCCCTTGTTAAAGTCAGGAATCTGTGGGGAGATTTCCACGTTAACAGCTTAAGCCAGGAGCTCTGTGGGCGAAGCCCTTTGGAAGCATTATGGGCGGGCCTCCTGAAGTAGATTTGTAGTTAAATCTTCTGAAGATATTTTATGGGTATGTTTGTGTGCAGAACTTCTTTGTAATTAATGCCTAGTAAAAAGATATATAAATGCAAGTAAAATAGAAAATGGACGTACACAGAGGCCTAACATCAAGAATGTCACATCCATCTTCGCCCTTTCTCTACATTTGTGCTCTTAGGGAGTAAGATTATATATAAATAGAAGGCTTAGAACTTAGAAACTGGTATGTAGGATCAAAACTTGCTTAATGTTATTTTAACTATTATCTCTCTATTTTACTTTCTTGGAGTGCTCATGATTCTTGTTGTCAGGTTTTTAATAAAGAAGAACTAAATGTTGTTATTACTCTCTAAATGAATTTCATCTTGTGACTTCCTAAGCATGGATATTAATTATTCCGTGCACTGAAGAAAGTAGAAAATAAGCCCAACAGCTCCTGTAGTGAAACTTCTGATAAGAAATAATTGTTCATGCATGACTAATCCACAGAATAACTTGATCCTCAGAGATCACTTGAAAGAGTTCTGGGGAGAGGGATATTGTTAGATCTATACCCTTACAGAAAAACCTGGCTATTCCTAACAAATCCTCCATTCCCACTAAAATGAGAGAACATTATGAGGAAGATTAGGCTGTAAAGAAAACTAAGATCTCACATTTGTGAACTGCATGGATTTATGGTGAAAAGAGGCATCTATGGTTTTGGTTTTGTTTTCTTTTTCAGGTCCCAGTCAGTTTTAGTGATTTTCAACTTTTACAGGTAAAATTATATTGACTGTTACTACTCTTTCCATTTCCAAATTAAGGAAATCCCACCTTGAAATAACATGGAATTATTTGGGCTAATGTTGCCTGGGAAAGGAAGTAGGGTTCTAGCTATATATTAAGAAATTAGGTTTGGAATGATACTGGATTATTTATGCTTGGCCATGACTTGATGATGAGATCAAAGGATTCAGTAGTTCAGAAGATAAGCAAACAGGGGAGTTATTGTGCAAATATATTTGGAGTAATTTTAAAAATGGCAAAATTCTCTGGTCTGAGTGGTTGTGAATGGATCACGTGAAGTGAACATAAAACATTTTTTAAAAATTGAGTATATATTTTCGTCATTGCTAGATCCACATCATCCCACATTCTGAGCCTGCAGCTCCTTGGCTGAATGGCAGTACATGCCACAACGTTGTTTCTGAGGTATTTTGCTACTTCAACAGTTGCTTTTGTCCATAATGGAAAAGTGTGGAAGTAAGCTAAAGCTTATCCGTGAGCATATCTTGTTTTTCACTGATCTATTTGATATGCTTCTAGGTGAATTATGAGGTGGAGTTTAATGGGATCCATGGAATCCAAAAGGTTTACATTGAGTTCAAAGTGGTCAGTATATCAGGAAATCCAGGAGTCACATTACAGCAACGTTTTTCTCTGCATTTTGGGGTCAGTACTTATTCTAGCAAACATCTTTAGCTTGTGAATGCTGGGGCCAAGCTATACAACTAAACTTTCTATTGCACTTATCCCAGTGGCAAGAGTTTCTGGGTTAGTATCTGTTGTGCACCTCAACAGTTTTGATGCTGTATAAATAAGATAAAATGAGCTGTAGCACCAAGCAAGCTTGTGGGCATGGTTCCATATCAATTTCTTGGCTTTATGTGGTTGCAGAAAGATATGTGTTGTGGAAGAATTACTGTAAGGGTGGTGTAGAAGTCTAGATTCTTCTCTGCTCCACCAGAGTTTCAGGTTTCTTAAACAAGAAAACTTTTTTATATATGACATTGCACTGTAGCACTGTAATGCAGATTAATATGGCAGCTAGGAAAGGATGCTATTTTGAAGTAGAATAGCAGGCAGTTTTAAATAACTTTGCTGATATTGAAGGGTGAAAGAATCCATTGTTCTGGAAACATTGCTATCTGGCTGGTTATCACTAGGAAAGAAAATTGACAATCTACATGTTGCTCAAATGCATGAGTTTTTGCAATTCACATTTCATTTAAAGAGATGTGTTTAGTTTGTTGTCTATATGCTTTTCATATGTTTTCATTATTATGCTGATTTATGATTTGTTTCAAGTATTATAATGTATTTTATTGTCTATCACTAGCCTAGAGAGCCTTGAAAGAAGAACACATTAGAATATTTTAATAAAGTTTTATAATACTGTTACAGGATAAAATACTTTAAATATATAAATTGAAAAGCAGGTAAACCTAAAAAATGCTAAAAATATATTTGGTTGGTATGAAACTCAGATGTGCCTAAAATCTGACCACTATTGCATACAGAAGTATGCATTTCCGGGCAGATCCTTCTTTTCTTCTCAGTATTTAAACATAAAGTGAATATTTGCTTTTTCCCAATTTTCTGTCATTTCCATGTGGATATCTTTCATCCATGGATGTCCAAGTGATATCTTATGAAATATTGTATTGTTTCACTCTTGGTTTATTAACCTCTCTGATAATTTCTGAGCTGCCTACAATCCATTTTGTGTGGTATTCCAGTTGGTTTGATGTGTTTTTTACTTAAAAAAAAAAGGTAAAGTCTTCTTTACAAATGGTATCTTCACAGACACAGCTACAGGCAATGTTCTTGCCACAGTACAAAAGTAGTTTGCTATTGCATTTTTCCAGGATATTTTTCAATTTCCCAGTCTACCCGATTTTCCTGGTACAGGATTCCATAATAGTCTCCTATCTGAGTACTGTACTAACAAACATAGACAAGGTCAATCAGATACTGCCACCTGCTGGCCACGTTTAAAGGAGTACTAGATAACATAGAAATGTGGGCATACTTGGCTCTGACCTGAGAAAGTTCAGGCCCATTTCTTTGGCTGCTAAACGTAACATTCTCTCACCACCCCACCCCTGCCATTTTTATGTTTCTTACAGAGCAGAAGACCTTCTTTCACTAAACGAAGAAGTGGAAATCCTGGCTATATCATAGGAGCACCACTAAGAGCTTTATATAATGGGATCCAGCAACACGTATCCTTTCTTGCTCTATATTCAGTTATATGTTTGCCAGTGGATGTTGGTATAAGCTTTAGATGATTGTCTGTTGGAAAGCTATTATAATCCAAGAGCACAATATAGAGAAGTTTCCCTTTCCTACTGTTCTTGAAATTAGAGCATAGTTGTATGAAAATAACACCTTTTGGGAACCAGGTTAAGAAGCTATATCCCATTTTTACCCACAACTGCTACTAAGAGTCTACTATTACCTACTTGCTTATAATTTCGTTCCTTATTATCTGAAGCCAGCAGAGTTACCTGCAATACACTGTTTAATCTAAAAGCGATATCCTCAGTTGGCAGTTTTGTAAACATGGTTTTACTGGAGTGAGAGAAATTGTACACTACTAGATCAAATAGCAATACATGCAAACAGTATAACTTGACAATTCAGTTAAAATCTAAATATGTGCAAAATACACATAGTAGGCTCATAGGAGAGCACATTATTGCAATACTGATATCAACCAGTGAGGGGTTTTAATGTCAAGAAACAACTTTATGAATACAATAGTTGCTTGTACTGTGACCGGTCTGATCAGCTGCCAATCTTTCCTATTTCTTTGTCTTATATAAGCAGCAAATACTATAGAAAGAGAGGAATTCCTGATAGCTAACTTACTACTGTAAAACTTTCTCTAAATGAGGGTTTGCCAAAAGAATTACAAAGAATTCTTCACAAAGAATTCTGGACTTCTTTTACTGGTTGAGCCAAACTTGCAAGCACTGGGTTCATCATTTTTTAAAGCTTAAACAGCCTGCTTTACTATACAGCTATTGATAAAATATTCAAAATACGTTCATGCCATGCTTTTAGAAATAAGAATAGGAAAAAGTTATATGTGGTGCCAGTACCAGTCTGAATTTTTTTTGTGACTCCACTATTCTCGTTTAGTTTCATAACACTCCCTTTTCTCAGGTAACCATTTTACAAAACCAAGCTAATGGCCAGTGCTCAGCAACTGAGAGATTTACAGTACAATTTGGGGAGAATGTAAGGACAGGCTGCCAATTCAGGTACATTTTATATAGTCTCTTATATTTTTGCTCTTCTTATCCAGGTTTCAGATGTATCTGTTTTGGCACGTGAAGAATTTTGCTAAGAAGTGTTGTCTCCATCAGATACTGCACGTTCATTGCAGGACTGATTTATAAATATTTCTGCAAAAATTCCAGATAATTACTTTCTGAGATTCCAGTTCTAAAAGGACTGCATCTTCATGCTGTCCTTTCTTCATAACTTAGCTAATTTTTCCATGTAGTTCTTTCTCACCGTGTTAATAGGAACAATTGTTATAGTGTTTAATATCTTTTTCTATATCTCTATATGGAAATTAAGTTCAACTGACATATGATTGCCTGGTCTTTTCCAGTATACCCTTCAGACCTGAGGAAACAAACTGCAGCCACTTGCAGGAGCTGTTTTACCAAGCCTTTGAAGGAGGACTCAGCACAGGGCATTTGGCCATAACTGGCAATGCTGATCCAAGCCATCCAGGGGAGTGGACCAGCATTTTTACCCAGAGGTGTAAGCTGCAGGTAATGTGAAAAATAGCATCCAGCTCCATATATGGTTTCCTAATATAAGTTTTGTCATGAGTCCCAAAACTTGATCTATCCTATTTTTTCAACTATATCCAACTAGACATATTGTGATTTGTCACAATCGCTGCACATTTGCAGTTTTGTACTCACAAAGAACTTTTTTGCTGGACCCATTGTCCCTGCTGTACATTATTTTGTTCTTCCCATGAATAGAGAGATGGAGATGACAGAACATTCTGTATCCCTTTGCAGTATTGTGAATTATGCTTTGTACTCGAACGTAAATATTGCAGTAATTCTGATCTTACTATTGCTAGTCAACAGGAAGTATTAGGGTTCCTGTTACCTAAATTCTCTTTTTCTTTCTAGGATGGGCATTGTATGATTCCTGTTTTCCTGGAGATTCAGGTGATATGGGCTAATATGGGCCTCTTATCTAATCCACAAGCTCAAGTATTGGGTGCACGGTATTACTATCTCTGCAGGCCTCTGAAGGTTAGTTACAGATAATACTGAATTCAAAAGTCATGCTAAACCATGATTTTTAACCACAGTTTGTTGAATAAGTAAAAATGGGCTGAGTTCACATATTATGTTAAACAAAATGAAACAAACTGCATTATGGCTTAACATGTTGCATGAACTCAGTGTCTTAAGGTTTTCTCATTTTATTTGGGTAGTTTTGAGCTAATGCAAAATCTAGTTCAGTGTTTCATACATAAGACATAAGAACATTTGGGTTCATGTGACTTTATGTGCTAGAACTGGTAACCAAAAAGGTTCACTCTTGAATTTGAACCAGAATTCCTTCTTACATCAAAACCTGAAAATTTCTCTCACTCTAAGCTCTAGTTAAATCAAGTAGTTCAAACCCATCTGTAACAGATTATCTTGATTTGTTCATGAATTAGCATTTACACTAATCAGATTATCTTAATTCAGACATTACAGGGAATTCTGGTTTTAAAACTAAAGGATGCTTTATTTCATCAAAGGAGAAGTAGTAAGATGACAAGCATGTACATGTATGAATTCAGGACTTACTACAGCTTATGTATGGAAGATTAGAAGTGCTGAGGGTCTGAAGTGCCTATTAAATTTCATTTGTGCCTTAAGGGAGGAAAATTATGATAATAATGACAGAGGTTCTAATATTTACAATAAGTATTAAATAAAACTGTTGTGCCTTCAAGTCATTTTTGACTCCTGGCAACTGTCTGGACAAGTCCCTGCAGTTTTCTTGGCAGGATTTTTAGAAGCGGCTTGCCATTTCCTTCTTCCTTCCTTTGCCCAAAGTAACCAAGCTGGCTTTGTGCCTAAATAGAACACCATAGGGTATCATTGGTGAAATCCAGTTCAGAAGGTTAGAAATTATATTATTGGAAATAGTTCTGTATCTATAGGGTCTAAGTGAACCTGCTCTTTTGGCAGAACATTGTATTTTTTAAAGTCTAATTTCTTATGTAGGGTAGAGTTATCTGTTGCTACTTAATGACTTATGAGGGAAGCAACCTAAAGGCCCTTGGAGACAAAGTCCTGGGAAGTCAGAAAGTCTAGAATCTAGATGGTCTCTAGGTTCTGTGTACTTTACTTCTGCTTCTGTTTTTGCTTATGTGGTGGAGAAGGTAATGATAAGAATTCTAGAAAGATTTACCATTTTTATACCAATTCCTGTGTTATAAAATATCCTGTCTAGGCAGCAGAAATAATATTTGTGACACACGGCTACTTTTTTATATTCCAAATCCTTCAATAAATGGTCTTCTCTTAAATGTTCTATTCCTTTTAAGCTGAAGGAAACAAACAATAGTCTTGAATTATAACTAATAATAATTATTTCTCAGTAAGAAATGGAACAGTTTTATCCTACATTTTGTTCCTATCCATTTCTCTACACTCTTTCCTCAAGACACTGGATATAAGATAACAACTAAATAATGTTCTATATTGTTTTTTCTTTCAGTCTCTGGGTATATATATGAACATGTTGTCTTTGACAAGTATAGTTACCTTCACAGATGTTACCAAATGGCCAGAGTCACCACGTGGTCAACCTGAATTTTATAGGAAATTTCCATTTGATTTTTTCTTCCCTTTTAAAATGGCATTGAATGGAGTGAGTAGTTCATGCAACGTATTGGGTACTTTGCTGATGTCTTTAATGCTTTATGGAATATTTGTGAGCTGAAGATACATCCTTCTAATACAGAAAAAGAGTAGCATTTTGCGTAACACAGAATCAAAAATGGTTGCGTGATGAGAGTGTTTAAGAGACTAACTTCCTAAAGGAAAGACCACTGCAACATCTATGTGTCAGATGATTGAGATGTTTTTCAACCAGTCTCAAAGGTTGCATAGATTATGTGGACATGTTGAAAAACCAGTAGACCATAACAAGTTGATCATATGTATGCCATTTAACATTTACCCCCTGATGACAGCTGCAAGCAATTGTTCCATAAGTAATTGCTATATCTGTTTCGTTTATGGATGGGCTTTTGTGACAGGTCTGCTATCAGCCTGGGGAATGTAAGAGACAGGTTCCAAAGTGATAATGGCAGAGGTTCTTTTCGTGTTCTGAAGCTTCTGAATTCCTGTCATCTGTGCAACCCCTTGTCTTTCTTCTCCTGCATAAAGGTGCTTTAGCTTGAAACCAGGCATCTTTAGACTTCAAGAAAAATTTTCCTTAATCATGGAATCTTAGTATCTTTTTCAAGATGAATGAACTATATCAAAGTATGAAGAATCCTGTAATTTTCAGTATGCCTTTCTTTTCCTGTTAGGAGTATGAATGAGACATTTGATAAATTAAAACTCAGTAATTAACACAAATACTTACCTTCATAGGTATTATTTAAAAGCTAATCTTCTTTCAATTAAATAATGTTCATGCTGTTGTTGTTGTGACTGTTTATAATACTAGTTCTTCGCTCATAGGATGTTCCAGTCCTTCCTAAAAGAGTGAACCTGAGACATGATAACTAAAGCTATAATATAAGAAAATATAGCTGCCTTAATACCAGAATCACTCTTTAAATTGAAGTTATTTAATGCATACTACATTAATATATTAATATACAGTAAGTATTTGGTAAGAACTGGGAATTTTATGAGTGTTGTAAACTATGAACATTTCCACTCTCATGTATTACAAATATAATACAAATATAAGCTTTGCAATGGTGGCACACAGTGGATATGACAAATTGTCACTGATTATTGTAGTTTCATGCAGTAATAAAAATTCCAGCATGCTTTCTTTCATGCTTTGAATTTCCCTTTGCTCAAGCAGTTGGACTAATTGAATTCTTATGAATGATTGTTAGCATTTCTCAGCCATACACAAGAATGCTAGCCATTCTTTAATATTTTAAACCATATATGTCTTTAAATCTATTTGCTATCAAATCACTGTTACATTAGAACCACCCTTAACAAATGAATGATATCTTTGAGAAACAAGGAATATTATCATGGACTAACTCAGAAATGCAGTCCTACATTCAAATTATTTAGCTTTAGGTAGATTTCAGAATTCTACAGACTCTTTAATATAATAAAAACTAGGTTTGAGCTAATTTCACAAGAGGAATGAATAAAATAACAAGCATTTTAAACTGTTATTGGTCTTATCAAAACATGCATATACAGCAGAATAGATATTGAATCACCTCCCCACACCAAGCCTGTTTTGATGAAAAGAAATATGAACTGGAACAGATTTCAGGGTTGTAGGGGAAAAGAAGCTCCTGATGCACGTACAGAAATGTGCTCAAAGAAAGTTGGATTTAGCATTATATTTTTTCTGTCTTGTATCTTAGTTATCTATTCTGATATACATATTGTTCAGCTTTTTTACTTGAAAAAGTTCATAACATATCCATGATGATCAGCTGGAAAGAGAATACTTTTCAAACCTCCAGCTACCATTTCAGAATCTCTTTTAGTCCTATAGTAGACAAATACAGTGACCTTCTACCTTGTCAACTCTAAAATAAGGACATTGTATGAAAAATTAGTTTCAGAGTCCAAATAGGAGAGCTAGCAATTTATGACTTTCCAGTTGGAATGTGATACAGTAGTGCTTGGCCAAATGCCTGGCATCTGTTTTCAAGACACATGGGGTTATAGCAGAAGTATTGCTGGGGTACTTGTTCTCAGCAGTTGTGTTCATACATGCTTGCTTTTTCATAGTAAGCCCAAACAAACCACATTACACTGAATATGATGCTCTAGTTCACAACACTCTAAGACATGTGGTATGTTTGCTTTGGCTTACCCATTGCAGTTTATAATCCATAGTGTAACTCACAGGCTTAGCATATTGTTCAAATGCAACAGAAGTTTATACCCAATAGCCTGCTTTTCCTGATGGTAAGAAACTAAAGCAGTTTCTCTTGAGCATGTATGCACTGGCTATTTCTTTGATAAAACATAATTGAGCATACTATAAATAATGTGTGTAGTCTACATCTAATGTAAAATCCAATCTTTTGGGATACTTTGTGTGAAAGGTTCTACCTTGTTGCAAAGATATTGAGGCCTATCTGCATAATCATATTTAGTGTGTTTTAACTGCTTTTTCATATCCAGTCTTTTAAATCCTGTGTAATGTGTGTCAAAGAATGGATCAAGAGTACAGAATGTTATTTCATTATTAAAGCTAAGAAAGATTTAACCCTTTTGTATGTATATCTCTCTGTAAGGCTAAGCTGCTATGAGCTTCCAATAAGGAAAATCAAAATAAATAAAATATCACTGTGTACCATCATTAGAAAGGTTATAAAATAGGAGATACATTATTTCAGCATGTATCAACTTTATTCTGAGATATGGAAGTGAGAAGTGAAATTTCACAACTAATTATGTGAATTGGTAGAATTCTGTGCTGTTAAAAATTATTTTTCCTACTTAAATATGTTTTTCCTATGTTTTCTTGGGATGCTCAGCACAGCACCCAGAGTTAGTTCCCTCTCAGGTGTAGTGGGTGTGCATTGTGGCTCAAGATTTATATCACCAAATTACATATCTGATAACATGGCAATACAGGTTTTTTTAAAAAACGTTATGTAATGAAAGCAATAAAACAAATCAATCTTTATTACAACACTTTCAATATCTTCAAAAATTCTAAGCTGGATTGGAATTTTAACCTGTATCTTACCAATTATTTTAGATTTTAGAAAGTGATTTTTAAAAACAAAATTGGATTGAAATTTCAGTTTAGGATGATTTGATTAATTGGTACTGATGAAAATAATTTGTTACTTGGTCTGCACTGTTTGTAAGTATTTTAATTAAAGTATTTTTTTAAAAACTATGCTGCCTTTCTGTCACAACTCTCAAAATGATTACTTTTGTGCGAAGTCATTCCTTTTTTTTATGTTTATAAAATTTAGTTTGGTATATTTTGCTAACTTAATAGCATTAATGCTGGTGTGTGCACTCCCTTCTAGGTGTACGGTTTTTCCTTAGTACAGTATATTCCTCCATCAACATTTATTGTAGCAAGAGGCAGTCTTCTCACATTTAGCAAAAGTGTGGAGTAGCCATACTGGAATAGTAAGAGGACGTGATCACAGATTTTGTCACATTCCTCTTCATCTCTGTCATGCATTCAACTCTAAGAACCCATTTTATGCATTCTGAATTATTGTTTCCTGGAGCAGACTTTCAAGTACATTTGGCTCATTTGGTGCAAAAATCCCTAGTCATGTTTTATCAGAAGTCCTGTTTCAATAGATTTAGTTCTAAATCATTATTCTTAAGAATGCAGCCCTAGCTGTGTTATGTCCAGTGCACCTTAACTATATTGTTTATAGGTATGGTTCTCATATTTGAGAACTAGCTATTAAAGAGCATGTGATTCCTAATGGTAGAATGCATTTCTCTCACTGGGCTTTAGCTGTATAAGAGCATACAATAACAAAGTCCACCTTTGTTGACTTTAGTTGTTTAAGCAGGAGGCCAACTCCCAAATGGGTAACTACTGAGTACAGGCTGTTTCCTGACCTGCCCCATGTCTCAGAATAATCTTGAATGCTTGACTTCCTTTTGTCTAAAAGTAAACCAATATTCTGATGGAGCAACAAGATAACATATTAATACTTGGTAGAACCAACTTGTCACTTTGTCTTCTGGGTGGTCATTGCATACTATATACTTCCAGTCCAGACAGTTTCTATTTAACAGGGACTGCCCCTTCATTTGCTTTGAAATAACACTGTTTCTGATGTAAGCGCAAAGTCTTAGTTTTGTGAAAGAGATAGAGAGGCACTGAATGTTTTTTTAAGCTTTACACTCAACTGCATGACTGATCTGTGCTGAGCAAAGTGGAATGGCAGTGAACAGAACAAAGTTTTTAAATACTAAGACAGATTCAGTCAATTGCTTTAAAAAGGGTTTGTGGGAAACTGTAATAATACACAATCTATGATCACAGGATTATATGTAGCCCCAAGCCAATCCACAGTTCCAAGAGGAAAAGTTCTGGTCTCAGTTGTATATTAATTTTTAAAATCCTCTGAATCAGTATATGCATTTGAACCCAAAATCTTTTAGCTTTTTTGCATGTCCATCAAGCATGATAAAATGACCCTTCTTGTTCACATTTCCAACATAGATTTGAAGTACCTTTATACATTCTAGATAATTTTTCTGGGATCATATATCAACAGTACATCATTTTATAAAATTTCTCTTTAAGATTATAACATAGTGTAAATTTCAGTCCTTTCAACCATATATTTTCCCACTTTCATCTGTATATTTTAATTTTTTAGCTTATTTTATCATACATTCTTTCACTTGTTCTTCTGTTTCAGATTTCAATAAAAGTTCATACATTTTAGCAATTACATGTTCATCATTTGTACACAATTGTTTCAAAGTCATGCAGAAAAGCTAAGAGTTTGGGTTCAAATGCATACATACACTGATTCAGAGGATTTAAAGATAAATATACAGCTGAGACCAGAACTTTTCCTCTTGGAACTGATGGATAAGCAGTTGGGAAAAAGTCATGGAATTTTGTTTTTATATATGATAACTGCAGTGAGATTATTGTACACACAAAGATGGAAAGATTTGGCAATACCTATACTGGGGGAATGGTTGGTGAAGATGATGGAACTTGCTGAGACAGCCAAATTGACCTGTTTGATTAGAGATGACGGTATTTACGTTTATTGCTGACTGGAAACTCCTTATGGACTTTCTGCATAAAACATAAAAAATGAGTTTATGATGAGGATTAGCTAAAATAGATTATAGAAAGAAGAGACTCATAAGATACTTAGAGAAAGAGGTAAATCTTTAACTGTACTTATATCTGCTGTAAAGCTCAGAAGCCACTTCTTTGTATCTTTTTTCTTTTCTATTTTTCCTTCTTTTCTAGTTTTCTTTTTGCATTTTAATTTTTATTCGTTTTTAAAACTTTCAATAAAATTATATTAAAAAAAAAGTTTGGGCTGCCACAGTTCTCCAAACTAGTGCAAAATGATTTAAATCTATTAGCAATAATAGAAAGTTAATGATGTGATTATATTATCAACTACTACTCACAGTCTGTCAGGCCTACAGCTTGCTAAAACGAACCCTGGGCGATTTGAGAATAATTTTGCTTTCTGGTCCAGTAGGCTAAAGCAAGCAAGATTGCTGCTCGTTCCTGCGTAGACAGTCCTTACTCAGAACGGACACACTGACGGTCCCCTACTCTCTCTTCCTCCCCGTTTTCCGGTCTGTAAAATGGGAAGGATACTTAGGTTTGTCCTAGAAGTGGCGCACTTCATCGAGCCGTTGTGAGGATGCCCAGGATGAGAATCATCACCAACAGCGGCTCTTTCAACGAAAATTAACAACTACTTGGACCTTCCGTTAATCAATAGAAACAATGAAGCTGCCTTTATCTCACGATTCACTAGAGTGGGCAAAGGAGTGAAGAAACAGAAGAATGCATTATACGCGTTACTCAGAAAGAAGGTAAAACACTGCAGAGGAGCAAGAGGAAAAGGAATGCCACGAGGCAATCAATCTAGAGGGTGGGGCTTGAAGGGGCGGGCTGTCGGCCGGAAGTCCCTCCGCTGACAATCACTCCTGCCCGGCGGATTCGCTGGGCTGAGCGCGTCGCGTGGCTTCGGCTGCTGCTTCGAGCGTTCGTAAGTGATGGGGAAGAGCGGGCTGAGCTCGGTTGGGGTTCGGTCGCGCCATTCTTGCGCTGGGCGGTGCTCTGCTGCTGCTCCTCCACCGACCATCCGCGGGGCTGGGATCTCGGCCTCTGCTTCGAGTAGAGCGTTGCTCCATCCTTCGCTGGAGACGCGCGAGGGTCAACATAGCCTCTGTTTCTAGCGGGAGTGGGGGGGAAGAGGCATTCTTTTGATTCTGAATGCTTCCATCAATATCCTTTTCCCAGTCTGAGGCCATCCATTCTCTCGAAACCAGAATCCCCAAGTCGCTGTGGCCGACGGCTGTCTGGTAATTCTTGGAGATTCACTCTCAACACAACTACAGGTTACTGTACTTCTTCCCACCTCTGAATTGCATGTTTATGGGCACTGGGTATCAAGCCTTGTTAGTGACTGTGGATGCAATACAAGAGAGCTCTCTATAATCTTTTAAAGAGAGGGGAGGCGCTACTAGTGAATTCATTTACTGGCCTGAATCATTTCTTACGAGTATTACTAACTGCTACTATCATTTTTTCACACCAAGTTTTTAGTGCAGCCTTCCTCAGTCTAGTGCCCTTTGGATGCATTGGATAATTAGCAAGGCTAGGAGTTGAAGACGTTCATGGCATCTTTAGGACATCAGATTGGAGAAGGTTGGTTGGAGATTTGTGCACTCTCCTTGTAGTAGGATAATGCAGCGATGGTATAATAAAATAATATTTTTAACAATTCATTTCACATGCAGTATTTCATGTCAAAAAGAATGTTTGTGCAAAGCAATTTTAATCTTATAGAAAAATTAAGCACAATATATTTTCCATATGAGAAGGCTGTAGAATCCTGTCATAAACTCATTTTAATTCGCTTTTTGGCTTGATAAAACTTATGCTAGACTTTCCAGAACTTGAGATAAGGTCTTTGTGAACAGGTAGATTTCAGAAATACTATTAAAAAAAGCAAAGTCTAATTCTGGATAGAAAACATTTATTAAACTTTTATCATGAAGGGACGTGTTTGTGCTGGTGCCCTGTTAATATAAATGAGGTAGCAGATGTTATAAAAGCATCCTACCTTTGGATGAGTCTGAGCTCCCACTTAATAGAGGAGTGTTAGAAGGGGAGTTTCTTCCTCCTTCCCTCCCATTTTCTTTCAAGTTGTGAGTTTGCTTGACCATGTTGGTTTCTTATTTTTTAAACAAAGCAGATATTGTACATCATTCTCTAAGCAGAACCGGTCTTAAGATTAGACATTGTTCATTCACTGTTCTTTGCCATTCAGTTGGATGCAATACTAGAGACCTATCTAAAAAGCTTCTATCTAAAGCTTATATACACAGATCTGTTTCTGTAATCTTTTGTTTCTTGTTTTTTTCATATATTGTGTTGCCTTTTGGATTATAGGGGCAGAGGTTGCTATTTAACAAAGGGAAGGGGGGGGGAAAGGATGTATCTGTTTCATATCCTGGCTGTTTGAGAAAAAAAGATGTATATTTCCAGATTACATGGCTCAAGTATGGGATCTTACATAGTGGGAGCAGATTGACAGTTTGTCATCTTGTTCTGTAGCAGTGTAGTTATACAAATTTGCTTTCATAATTCAAAGTAGGAAACCTTTTTGAACCAGGGCTGTTTGAATATTTAAGAATACATAGTTGGCATTCTCACAGAGTGTGATGGAAGGCACACCTATTATCAAATAGTTTCTATGGAAGTGTGATGCTGTTGCCTCCCCGTAATGTTTCCTGCCCACCCATAATCCCATTTTACCTTTGCCCTATTTCCAGGCACCTGGCATACTTTCAAGGAAAGTATGGTGTGTTTATTTTCTAAGAATGCATATAGAATTTACATAGGGAATGAGACATTTTTGTAAATAAAGACACTAGAAGGAAATATGCTTTGCCCCTGTCAGTTTCTTATTAATTAAAATTAATGCTGCCAAGGAAGAGGACCTATGGCTTTATCACCATATATTGAAATAATTAGGTATAGACTGGTTTTAAGCTCATATAAATAGGCATTTGAACAAAAATAAAATCTCAAATTATTTCCTGCATTTCTGTGGTCAGTCTTGGACGTGTTAAAACAGAAGTACAAGCTGTGTAGGAATGTGGCTGTATGATATATAAATACATTATGGGTGCATCCAGGACATTTGTTATTTTCTTCAAAAAGAATAACAAAAAAGGTGGGGAGGGAAACTGTGGTACCATAACAATTTTGTGAACTAGACCAAAGTTTATCAGATGTATCAGTTTTAGTACCAGATGAGAATTCCAAAGTGAGGGATTTTCCAGTTGGAGCCACCAAGCAGATGTTGAACAGAGAAAATAATGCAAGTATGAACTGCTGCCATGTAACAATTTTTTTGGAAAAATAACTAATCACATTTCTACCATCTTCTACCAGAGGTGGGAAATTTGTGGAACTTCAAGCGTTGCTGGATTATTACTCCCAGCAGTCTTGGTGATCATGTTATAATGGTGAGAAATTCTGGTAGTTTAGCCACATCTGGACAGCTACACACTCCTGAACCCTATTCTAAATGCAGCCAATTTTTAAATGATAGCAATTACATCTTATTTTGCTTCCTTTGTTTATTCCTGCCTTTGAACTGGAATTTTCCTCTTGCTTTATGCTACTTAATTGGATCCACATGTAATTAGTGGGGCGGGGGCAGCAGTATTTTTCCTCTGAAATGTTGGGCACAGGCTACCACAGATTGCCAGACAAGACAAGCTGGATTTGTTATAACCTGCTAAGTCCTGCACTAGAATTTTTCCAAAGAGAAATAAGCTAGTGCCATACAGGTAGGTCCTGTTTTGATATCAGATTAATTTTTGTCTCCTGTATTTATTAAGTGGTGGGTGTACTTACCTAGGTTTCATATAATTTAGCTTGAAAATACATTTTAAGGTATGTAATTAGTGTATTGTGCAGCAAATTTTGAAAAAAAAATACTTGTGCATGAAATAATTTTATCAGCTTATGCACTTTACTTTTTATGATTTATTTGCTCTGATTAAAGAATCTGGGATCTCTTCTCTTCCAGTAAAATAATGTATATTTTTAAAGATGGTGTAGTAGCAGTGGGGGACTAGAATTCTGCAAGATGAAAATTGAAATGGCAGGGGAGGAGGGAATCAGGTTTATCAGTTTTCCTTTTCTATCTACTTTCATTGGATGAGATATAAAACAACATAGCAGAATACAGTCACAATAATATTGTAATGTTGAGATTGGACAGTTGTATGCACATTCTACAGCGCTATGTAGTAATAGTATCTGTAGATATTTAAGTGTTGCAGAAGAACTATAATAAATTTGGATGAATTTAAATATAAATTATGGTTGATGGTTACTATGGGCATGAGCTAGGTAAGTTTGGGGCTTGTACATTGTCATTTTATTCTTTATAGCAATAAACAGATTTTGATCTTTTGCTTTCAGGTTCAGTTAATCATAGATTAGTATTATGGCTGAACCTTCATATGTTTTGGGGTACCAAATGAAGCCAACTACATAAACCACAATTTGTCAGTCTTTAGTTATAATGTTTAACTATTGTTAACCAAAACCAGAATCAAAGCTTCCAGGACTTTCTTGCAAAAGAGTAGAAGCACAGAGATTTTACTTATATTCCTGTATTGATGAGCCAAAGTTTATTATTGCATCTGGAGGCAACCCTCTGTACTGCTCGGAATAAATTATTGAATGCTGTAAGACCGTATTGAGTGGAAGCAAGTTTCCTGGCCCCTCTGAAGGGTAAACTGTATGTTTTTAGGTTATGCATTGTGACTTCTGTCAAAATTGCTTCCAATGCTGAGGGCACAGCTATCCATACTTTCGACCAGTGGAAGAGAGCTATAGAACCTGAAAATTTTTTTTTATATATATTCATCTGCATAAGTGCTCTGAGAAAGCAACATGCAGTTGAAAGATACGTCTTTTGTTCCCCAGTCAATTTTATACTTGGCTACCATATTTTATTCTACAGAGCTAGGATAGTGCTTTTTCCTTCTTTTCTTCCTTTACCTAGAACAGTACACCTCCTTGCACTAAAATAAGGCTCGCTGGTTCTCAGTAAGAAAGCATAAAGCCCCAAATCCTGTTTGATTTATGCCAGTCCCCTTGTGGATAAGATATTTATCAACTTACGCAGGTCACGTAGACTTGCTACAAGGCATCAATGGTAGTCATGCTTTGCAAATTGGCTGACTATAACTTGGAACAAAATTTGACTCCACAGTCCAGAAAACATTCTGCAGATAGGACAAATAATTGTCTCAATTTCATTATATTTAGGTGAGTATATGCAGATACAAAAGTCAAGAAGAGTCTGTGAAATAGAATATTTGTAATAGTGATAATATTGCTAATAAGTGTAGATGTCCATGTTCACACTCAATGGGGTAGGTGTGTCATTGCCTTTGCTGGGTATGATTCCCAGGGTGAAGAAAACTGAGGAATGTTTCAATACTGTGCTGATGATGTGTTTTGAGCCCTTTGATCATCTATAGCCAAGGTTACAAATCTCTGCTGTATTTTCCATCTTCAGGTGGGAGCTTTGGAGGGATCTTCTGTAGTTTCATGAGGAGGCATAGTGTGAGATTAATAACAAGGGAAGGGGACATGTTGTGACATAGCCAGCAAGTCAAGACAAAAGTTCTGATGGAGAGTCTCCAAGTCAAGCTCAGTAAGCTGATGGCTTCATGGACATGTCTGTAATTATCTCAGCAACACAAGAAGTGGTTTGCTATTACCTTCCTGAATTCCCCAGTTCAACTCTGGTATTTCTTCATCTCCCCTCCAACTACTTACCAGGTCTGGCCCTGTTCAGTTTTCAGGTTGGCTAAGTTCTGCTTCCTAGCTAGCAAAAAGTTCTGGACTTTTCATTAAAAATTTGAGAAAATGCTGAAAAGATTCTAGTTAGTACCAAAGGTAGATACAGAAGCAATTTTAGATAAAAACACTAATTGCCATCTGCTATGAGAAATAGAGTCCTATGACAAAGCTGTTCTGTGGCTGAAAATGCGAGCTAGATATTGGTTAGCCTTGCATGTCCAAGTAATCTCAGCAGCCAGTACAAAACTCAGATGAGGAAACACACTCTCCTTAAAGTACCAAGTTCTGCAGTCATGCATCTGAAATGGCAAGGCAGCAGGATCTGTGTATCAAGAAATATGCTCTCCTCCAAACTACCAGTAGTATATCAAAATTCAAAGGTAGCAGACTGTTTCCTTGGGAATTAGGCTTGCTTTTGTGAACATGCTGGTATACATGATCTTTCTTAGGCCTTCAGTCTTGACCTCTTTTGTCCTCTTTGTTATCTTGCAGGATGCAGAGAAATTATGTTCATTTTTTCTCTTGCCTTCAACAATTAGCTTTTCACAGTACCTCACTTAATCAGTAGAAAATATACCCCTATTCTAACCAAGGAGGTGGTGTCTAAAATTTTGATTAGCTCCACACTGAGGAGTCTTTGTAGTCTCTAACTAGCAAAGTTCTGGATGCTGTATTCCCAGTAAGACATTGCTGAAGAACAGGAAGTTCAGGGATCCTGTGCTTCCAGTTTATTTCACAACACTGTTGCACCTAAGATCAGTTTGTTATACCATTTAAAAATTATTTTTAAAACAAATTTCCCAAACCTCATGGGACAGATAAAATTTTTGTTGTTCAGTTATTAAGTCGTGTCCAACTCTTCGTGACCCCATGAACCATATCTTGCGAGGCCTTCCTGTCCTTCACTGCCTCCCGGAGTTTGGTCAATTTCATGTTCATTGCTTCGGTGATGCTATCTAACCATCTCATCTTCTGCCGTCCCCTTCTTCTTTTGCCTTCCATCTTTCCCAGCATCAGGGTCTTTTTCAAAGAGTCCTCTCTTTGCATTAGGTGGCCGAAGTATCTGAGCTTGAGCTTCAGGATCAATCCTTCCAATGAGCAGTCAGGGTTGATTTCCTTTAGGATTGACTAGTTTGACCTTCTAGCAGTGCAAGGGACTCCTGAGAGTCTTCTCCAGCACCACAATTCAAAGGCATCAATTCTTTGGCGCTCAGCCTTCCTTATGGTCCAGCTCTCACAGCCATAATTGCTACTGGAAAAAGTTTTGATTATGCAGATCTTTGTCAGCAAGGTGATGTCTCTGCTTTTTGATATGCTGTCTAGGTTTGCCATAGCTTTCCTCCCAAGGAG